ATAACAAAACATCCATATAAGTTTGTTTCGGTTGTATTAAAGTTTAATCCTTTATCATTGGGTTTTATTGTCTTGTTTTCAACAGACCNAGGCATTCAACAAGACGTGACATCTCTTACGGGAATTATTGACTGTGCTGAGTTTGACACTGAACAAATTTCGTAAGTAACACTCTTTGACTTCATGTTTAACTTGCGTTTGTGTGCCAATACCTGATATGATATTTACTATAAATATGTATGGGTCAACTTATGAATCGATTCCCTTGCTTTCATTTTACAGACAATATCTCATTGCTGTCATTTCGGAATGCCAAAACCTAGCCAGCTGGATGGAAACCACCGCCTCCACACGTGTGTCGTACCCAATGAAGGATACCGTGGACGTGTACATTGTTAGTGGACGTGACATGTTGCAGGTAAACATCTTCTGAGGTCAGATAAATCAGCGAACGCTGAAACGGTCAATATATTGTTTTATAAATCAAATATAAGCTGAGTGGTATCGTTGAGTGATCTGCAATACATGTTTGTTCGTTGTAGGCAATGGGACAAGATTCAAGGAAAAGCTATGCTGCCTCGATGAATATACTAGACGAGAAACTTCGGGACATTTCGACAACAGCCCTTCTGACATTCAAAACCTACCATGACCATTTGACTAGTAAGTTCAAAATAAGTACGAACATGTACCATAGCGAGCCTATTAATCAACGCTTTATTATCGGTTTCCCTCCTGTAACAATGTTTTTATTATTATTATAGACGCACTTGCCCAACCGTTGAACACAGACACGTTACGCCTTGTTAAAGCCAAGTACAACGAGTGCCTCTCAAAGGTGATCAGCCAACTTCCATCTATCAACAACGTAGCCCAGCGATACACGTCATCCTTGTACAACGGCAGGGAACATATTAATTCCGCCCTGTACGGACTGTTGGACAGACCAGAAATAAACTACGTTTCATCCCACGTACGTACCCAGTTCATCATATATTTTAACGTTGCTGTGTTGGTTTCTTGCATTATTTTAGTTAATCGCATTTTTTTCCGAATAAAATGTATTTCAATTCTTTTATGATCGATTCCTTCTTTCACATTTTTTTTTCTTTTATTAAATAACAGGCTGCTTCCGCTTACAAATTCTGGGAAGTTGAAAAGAATACAGAGGCGGCCATTACAAGCGTGTACGATTACGTCATCGAAATAATTGAGGAAGAAATTGAAGCGCTAAAATCCGTCATCACTGACCTTGAGAAGACTAAGATAACTGTATTCGACCCTGTGAATGGCGAAGTTCAAACTGACACTTACCTTCTTGTGCCCATGAAATCTCTGAAAGCTCTACCAAGCATTGACGTCACCCAACACTTCAACAAAATTCGTTCGTACATTCCGGATACCAGCGAGTGGGGATCCGTCTCTGATTACGTGCCATCATCAGATGTTAACACCTGGATGCCACCTTTCGATGGTAAGCACTATAAAGTTAAAAGAAGTTACAAATTATAATTTGGTGAAACATTCATAGTGAGCAAATCTGTCTCAGGATTATTATTTATGACAAAAGCAGTCATTTCGTATTGGTAGCAAAAGCTGTTACTATATATCAACGTTAATATTAATCGACTTATCGTATTAAAGTCTCGCAGACAAACTTTCATTCAAATTGA